GAAGAGGGAGGGAGGAAAGAAAGGGAGAAGGGAGGGGAAACTGTTTAGTATGTAAAATAAATGGGGAAAATGTTATTTAAATGTAAAAAGAAAAGAAATATACTTAAAAACATACTTTTTAGGATGGCTGTACCACCATTGTTTCCTTTCAGGAGGCTCAAAAACTTCAGACCCAGGGTCTGGGAAGTTGAGTCAGTGGTTATGAGCATTTGTTGATCTTGAAGAGGACCTGAAATTTTTCCCAACATGCACATGACAACTCACAATCATCTGTAACTGCAGTTCCAGGGGATTCAGTGCCTTCTTCTGACAGCCGTGGATACCAGGTGTGCACTTATTACACATACATACATGTAAGCTAAAAATTCAGACATGTTAAAATGAAAGAATCAGTTTTTAAAAGAGAAAAACTTTTATACCCATAGTAGGTGTTTTGATGGTTAATTTTATATGTTTATTCAACTTTGGTAAGGGATGCCAGATAGCTGATTAAGTCTACTTCTAAATGGATTTATGGAGTGTTTCTGAAAAACATACTGAAGATCATTTTTATCAGTGTAGATGAGCATCATCTAAATCACTGAAGGCTCAAAGAATGAAAATAGGTGTGCAATGATGTTGGGTTAACTCTTTCTTCTTGACCTAGGGTGCCAATCCAATCCTGGTCTCAGATATTTATGCCTTCAAACCTTGACTAGAACCCATAACGTTGACTCTCTTGGTTTTTAGGTCTTCGGGCTAAGAATGGAGCTACACAATTGCCTTTTTGTGGGCTATCATCTTCAAGATCACACAATTTCTCAATCTCCTTAATGACATGAGTCAACACTGCATAACAATTTTATATACATCTATGACTTAAATAGAACATAGATATATACCTAAATAGATAGATAGAGATAGGTAGATGATAGATTGATGACAGATGGATGGACGGACGGACGGACGGACAGACAGACAGACAGACAGACAGACAGAGATATCCTAGTGATTCAGTTTCTATAAAGATCCTATTGGTTGGTTATCTAAGATCCAGACTAATCCAGTGTCCAACCAGTATAGTTATAATTTCCCCCTGTCTTTTCTTCCTTTTTCCTTATCTCCAATCAGTTTCCACAGCTAGAAGATGCGTCCAAACTCCACTCATCCTCCCCCCACCCCACCCATCTCATTTCATGATTTCTCTCAGCAGCTACCTGGAAGGTCTTCCTTCTTCTATTCCATGCAGCTCTAAAAGAGAGAGACCCCCTTCCCACGCACATACTACCTGAGGCAGGTGGGAGAGCTACCTCTAAAGCCAAAAGAGCTGGAGAACTCCCCCTGCTCCTCACCAGCTGAAGCACTTGGGAGAACAGGCCCTGCACCTCACCTGGGCAGCACAATAGAGCTGACCCTGTTGGCAGAGGTATGGGTAAGCCAGCCCCAAAGTCACAAGCAGTGGGAGAGCAGTCATGCCCAGGATGGTCAAGGGAGAGATGCCCCCTTACCCTTTTCCCCTCACTGCCTACAACAGAGGATGGAACTGACCCTCCTAGTTACCAGCTGCAGCACTCAGGAAAGTGGGTCCTGGACCTTGTCTGCACAGTAGAGCTGACCCTATTGACAGGGGAGCCAGTAAACTGGCCCCAAGAACATGAGCGTGGGATTTATGGCCCTACCTCTCATCTGCCACATGGTGGGGTGGGCAAAGGAGAAATGCCCCCCCCATCCCTCACCACCTGTGGCAGGTGGGAGAGCTGGCCCTGAGGTCATAAGAGTGGAAGAGCTGTCCCTGCTCCATCACTAACTACAGAACCCAAGAAAGTAGCCCCTGCACCTCACCTGAGCAACACAGTAGAGTGGTCCCTGATGGTGTAGGTATGAGACAGGTAACCCTGAGGGTGCAAAAGCAGGAGAACTGGCCCCGCCCATTTCTCATTGCTACAAAGGGGTGAACTAGCCAAGGTAATGCTGGAGAGCTCACACAGGTGGTGAGGACAGGGAAAATCTGGCAGGCTGACCAACCCTGCAACTACCCAGGCCCAGAACCAAGATTATGAGTTGACCCACCCCAACATCCACCCCATCTGTGGTCTCCTGGAGTACATGAAAGTGCTAGTCCTGCAGACCCAAAGCTGCAGGATCTCCACAACACAAGGCAACAACAGGATATCCAAGAGGCATCCCATTGAGGGTCCAGCATCAATAACATAGCAGATACTAGAGGCCTAAAACCAGACCAATGACTGTGGTGGACATTTGTACATCAAGATTTATGAATTAAAGGGTTCATTGCATAACTCACAGTGTCTCACTACAGCTTCCACAATGAGATTGATTTTATTTCATTCTATTTCTTTATTCTCTCTTAAATTTTATTTTTTTGGTGGGGGGGGGGAGATTACAAGGGCAGAGGGTGGATATCAAGGGACAGAGAAATGAATGTGATTAAGATGTATGATGTGAAAGACACAAATGTTGGGGAATGCAGACCACCAGACTCTGAATTCCTTGTAAACAATTTGTTTTCCTCTGCTCTGAGCATAAAACCCTGATGGCAGGTGAGTGATTTCTGGTGACTGCAGCTGAAAGATCCCGAGAGCTGGGGTGTAGCCAGAGCACTATATAAGCTGCCCCTAAACACACTAAAGTGGGAATTTTTGGCATTCTTGTCTCAAGGATATTCCCATGGCCCTGTCTGTCTGTCTGTCTGTCTGTCTGTCTCTGTCTGTGTGTATATGTTTTTAAATTTTCAGCCTAGTTCCCATAGCATATAGTGAATAGAGTGCAGTACGGAACTGGTGTAGTTTTACAAGTGGAGACCCCAGTGAGATCACCCTCAGGAATGGTGAGGGTGGATTAAAGATGGGTATATGTATTATGTGTGTTTGAGTCTTCAAAGAAACAAAGTATAGACAGTCAGATTATAAGCCACAAAAGGATGGAATGTGCACAGAGAATTTGGATTATGTATATTGTGTTCTCTTTTGGTTTTTTGACTGGAGAAAGACATTTGATTCTGGGAACTACTAAAAAAGGTGTCTTGACTTTAAAATACGGGACTAAGGATATGTTGCTTTGGAAAAGAGGTTCTGATTTTGTTTCCACAGAAGATGAGAGTATGTGGAATCATTCAAGGCTAACATGGTTTGATGGACCAAGATCCCCTGAAATGTCTCTGTGAATACACCCAAAAATTACTTCACCTAATAATCAGCAGAAAGTAGTCTGGAGAGAGAACTACGCCAAAATTCCCTACTGGAGGTTGTGGGGCCGAGGGGGATGGCATAGGCAGTGGCAGTACCAGGGGCATCAGCAACCACAGCACTGGAGCTGAGGCAAGCCGAGGTGAGTCACCCAGACCTCTGGGCTGCCCATCCATGAGCAGTGTACAGAGAGGCAGTGACTGGAGTAGAGTTTCGCAAGAGTGACAGCCAACTGCCGAGTGCTCATGGAGACATCCAGAAGGCAGCAACAGGGAGGCAGCAGCAGTCCCAGGCTCTGCACATCCAAGAGTTTGACCTGAGGGTCCCATGCAACAGCTGTGGAAGGTCTCTGAGCCCGCCTGCCACCCCAGCTCTCAGCGGCAGCGAAAGGTGCATCACTCCAACCCAGTTGGTACCAGGCCTGGTGGAGACTTTGGGACAGTGACTATGGTCGTTAGGATATGTTCCAACTTATTGCTGTTATATTTGTGCCAAGCCCATGCCAGTCCAAACTCTTGGTCTATTTATATAGAAAAGGGGGGAAAAAAAAAAAAAAAAAAAAAAAAGTTAAAAAAGAAAAAAAGAAAGCCAAGTAGATGACAAAACAAAGCTGCTCACTAAGTCTCAGCCAAGCTAGGCATGATGGGGTGGACCGACATGAACTGAAGCTGTCTTATGAGTATACGAAAGCATGGAACTTGAGCTGAGACTTGGTATTATAATGAGAAAAACAGAAAACAGCAGTTTCAAGGGAAAGGAAGTTAAACCAATTACCCTTCAGAGTGAACTTCAGCAAGAGAGACAGACTTTGGCCTAAGGTCCATAGAAAAGCTCCAAGAACTTCATCCAGAGAGATTTCTTAAAGTAAAAGAGAACGAGAGCTCCACTGTGGACACCATAATGGGGGGAGGGAATCTGAAGGAAAGGGGGGCCTCCAAAGAAAACCCCTAAACAAAAACCCCTGAATAAATTTTTAAGAGATTGTGGATAGTTCAACGCTAAGTACCATCATCTGTATAGCACTTGGCATATGTGGAGCCAGATTCTGAAAGGGACAATAAGATTATCTTGTAGCTGTTAGAGGGAGGAGCAACAGAACCACAGCTCTGATGGTTTCTTTACTTTCTGTTCTAGAGAGCAAGCTTTGTGGAGCTCTGACTGGGTTTATGGATTTGGAGGCAGCTGGAGAGTTTGTGTTCTAACAAGACTGAGATTTGGAAATCAGCCAATTCAGAAGTCATATTGGGGTGCTAATAATCCAGGAACAGGGATATAGATGGAGAAAAGCTGGAAGCCAGGGCAACGTAAGCAGAGCTGTGTTGGAAGCTGTGATGGACTGTGGGAACCAATGAAGGTGAGGCAGGGGCTCCAGAGAGGTGAGATGAGGTACCTCCAGTGGTAAGGTAGTTTAGGAAAAAGAAAAAAAATCCTAATTAAGGAGACAAATTGAGAAATTTGCAGGCTGGGGGATTCTCAAAATAGCCAAGGGCCCCCTAGCTGCAGCAAAAGCACCTTGGTGTTCATGACCAAGCTTTCTGTATGGCAAGCATTTAATGAGAGTCACCCATCCAAAGAACACCTCTCCCTTGTCCCTCAAGGTTTCCCTCTGAGCATAATACCTAGGTCAATCATTTGATCCATTTACTCGCCCTGCTGGTGAGAGGTATTTTTATGGGACAGGCGTGAATATTTTACAAAGTATGAATATGAATGAGAAACATCTTTACTATGCCAGAGAAATAAAGTTTATTGGGAAGTAAATGAAGCTGCCTCCTTGCATTCCAGAGAATACCAGAGAAGAAAGGAAGGCAGGATATGGAGGCATGTACAGGAAACGCCCTCTATGGTAAGCCCCAGAGCTCAGATTGCAGAGGTCTGACACCTTCAGCAGCAAACAGGCTCAACCTTCAACTGAAGGAGCTTGTCCGGAAGTTGAAGATGGCTGTCTTTGCTTGTTGGTTCTGCAAAACCTGTAAGTTTCTGGCAAACACCGTTGTCATGGTGATGTTTCTTAATGGCGATGGAAGTCCAGCCTAAGTAGGCACCTGGAGACTGTTCCTGCATTTTAACTAAATGGCTTCATTGACATTTTCCAAGGGGATCTAAGTTGTTCAGTTAACAGCAACGCTTTTGACAGCCGCCACAAGGTCCACAGGAGGTACCAGTAGCGTTGGTGGTGGCACATGGGTTGCAGGGGAGGCTGGGAAGACACAGAAGCAAACATACAGTTGGAGAGGATAAATCAGAGAACCCTAAATCACGCACAGTATCTTTTACTGATAGAAACAACCTAAGAACTGTCAGTGGTTGGAATTAGAATTGTGGCTGTGACCAAGCCCTTTTCTCTTACCCACAATACCTTGGGCCAAACTGGAAACTTGTGCTTTTAAAAAAATATCTCACACTCTTCCCTCTCATGGAACTTAATGAGATTGGCCTTACCCAACATGTAAGGCTGTGACTGGCAATATCTGGACACACCTCTCTCCTCTCTATTGATAACTTTCAAAGACAGAAGCTATGCCCTTCACCTTTGCTCACACGCATTTACTTGACATAATGCCAATCACTGCGTCCACTGTGGGCTTTCGATGCACTATGTGAGCATCTGAAACATGGCCACCAAGTGTGTTTCTCCTGTCTAACATGTCCACCACACATGCTATCCCAGAAATCCATTCTGTACTCACTTGCAGTCCTCGCTCTCTAGCAGACTCCTGTATGTGTTGATCTCACACTCCAGTCGGGACCGGATGTCCAGCAGCACCTGGTACTCCTGGTTCTGACGCTCCAGGTCAGCCCGGATCTCACCAAGCTGGGACTCCACGTTGGTGATCAGGCACTGCACCTGGGACAGCTGGGAGCTGTAGCGAGCCTCGCTCTCTGTCAGGGTGTTTTCCAGAGAGTTTCTCTGTGGGAGGAAAAGACAAAGACTATCACAAAGCTGTCCCCTCTAAAGGTCCCTGCATGGCCCTCCAAGGGCCTTCAAGAGCTAAGGAGAGGGAGTGGCCCCAGGGCATCCCAGTGACTCTGCCTCCCAACTCCACACTGCTCAGCAGCAGGTCTGGACACTACACACCAGGTTGTGCTGGGCCTGCAGCTCGATCTCCAGGGCGTTGACTGTGCGTCTCAGCTCGATGATCTCTGCCTGGCAGGACTGCAGCTGCTCTGAGCTGGACACCACCTGCTTGTTCAGTTCCTCGCTCTGCAAGAAGCAAGGGAAGAGACAGGCTCAGACCCTGCCTTAGAGTCCTGGGGGACTCAGTTCCTGGGTGACCATGAGCTCAGATGCCCACCTGTGTGGTGAACCATTCCTCCACTTCTCTGCGGTTGGTTTCCACCAGGGCCTCGTACTGACACCTGGTCTCATAGAGCACACGGTTCAGGTCGACAGTGGGAGCAGCGTCCACCTCCACGTTGAGGCGATCTCCAAGCTGGCAGCGCAGGGTGTTGACTTCCTGGTGGAAGAAGGAGAAAGAATGACACCATGAAAGCAGATCTGCTCTCTTCCTGCTAGAGGGAAACTGAGTACAACCCCGCCTACAAAGGGATGGGGGCTGTAACAACATCCTGATCGCTCCAAAGATGAAGATTATCACTGCAAAGCTCCAGCGGGACCCACGTCATTATCTATCTCAGACAAAAGCAGAAGCACCTTCTCATCCTTCTAAGACTGAGTCCTTGGCACTCGCAAACCCTCCTGTCTCTGCCACACCCCTTTATGTACTATATGCTTAGCCATTCTTAAATATGCCTTACCTAAGCGCCTCTTTGCTCAGCCTATACCCACACATGGCAGCACTTTAGCATCCTCCCCTTGCCCCTAGAAGTGCTCCCCTGCTCCTCCCTATAAAACTGGCTTCCTCCTACTATGCTCACACCGCACAGCGTTGATTTCACTCAGCCTTGCATTCGATCACTAGGGCTCCATGGTTGTCCCATCATATTGGACTAAGAGTTCTTAAAGAGAGGAACCATGGGTTATTTTATATTTTTTTACCCTCCATTTCCACCATCAGTTCTTGGACCCTAACAGTAGTAACCAGGAGAGGTCAGAGTTCAGCAGATGGACATCCATCCTCACTGCCCACACTCACCTATGTGCATGGGCATCCATAGCTCACTGTACTCCTTGATAAGGATACAGCGCCATCCTCCTAGGATCTTAGCTTAAAGTCCTTCAGGGAATGGTCCTACACCAGGTAGCCTGACAGCTGGTACCTGATTCCAGGGACCCTCTCTTAATGCTAACAACTTCAGTCTAAGGCTCTGAAACCTGCTTTGACAACACTTCTCCATACCTCCTCGTGGTTCTTCTTGAGACACAGCAGCTCCTCCCTCAGGGACTCCACCTGAGCCTCCAGGTCAGACTTGCAGAGGGTCAGCTCGTCCAGGATCCTGCGCAGGCTGTTGATGTCTGACTCCACTAGCTGACGCAGGGACAGCTCGGTCTGGTACCTGCACACACAGAGCGGGAAGATCAGCCAGCATCTTCTTAGGATGTGGCTGGACCACAAACTCCGTGAACGTATACAGTTGTGTGCCTTTCCTCCTCTGTTTCCATCCTACTATGTGTGGATCAGCTGCAGGAGGTCTGGACCCACTTCACACCACAAGGGGCCCTAAGACACCTGTAAGATGGGGTCCTCACTCTGTTCTTGGTGTTATTGCTTAATAAAGCACCAAATGGATCCATTCCCGTCTCTGGATTTGGGAGTTTTATAAAAAGAACTTACTAGAAACATTGATATGGGTTGAATATCACTGACTAGAAAAATCCAAAACCAGAACAATCTGAAAGTCTTTGAGGGACACAACACCACAGTGCAAACTGAGCTTCCTGACTCCATTGACAGACAAAGTGCAGGTGCACTAAAAACAGTGTATAAAATGGGACTCAGTCTGTGTTTACGGTATATAAACACCTTAACAAATGAGTTTGGACTCAGGTCCCATCCCTAAGACAGCTCTTTATGAGTGTTCAAATACCCCACAACTCAAAAGGAAAGCCAAAACCCAAAAACCACTTCAGGTCCCAAGCACTTCTGATAAAGGACAGTCAACTCGTATCAACTGCAGGGCTCAAGTCTGAATATCTGTCTACAGCTTACTTTTATAGCCAGACTGAGAAGAAGGCAGGAAAAGGGAAGAAGTGTCTTTCTCATCCCTTCCGCCTGCCCTGCCAGGCAACATTAAACCCACAGAGCCATGAAGATGCCATGAAAGAGCCATCAGGGTTTGGAAGTCACCCAACTCAAAAGGTTCAACATACTTGGTCCTGAAGTCATCAGAGGCCAGCTTGGCATTGTCGATCTTCACGGCCAGCCTGGCGTTCTCAGACTTAGCACACAGAATCTGAAACAATGGTTCTAATGTAAGATCCACTTGAACTTGAGTATGCCTCCCCAGTCAAAGAAAGGCAACTGATGATGGGCTCTTAGATAGGCCACCCTCTAACCTTCTGCTGCAGCTCCTCGATGGTCCTGAAGTAGGACTGGTAGGCAGGGCACACCAGAGGGTCCTGCTGCTGGTTCCTCTCCTGGATCCGACTTTCCAGCTCGGCATTCTCTCTCTCCAGCTGCCTCACCTTCTCCATATAGCTGGCCAGGCGGTCATTCAGGAACTGCATGGTCTCCTTCTCGTTGCCATTGAAGGAGCCCTCACAGAACCAATTGCAGTTGCCGATATTGGCAGGGATGTTGCAGGCTCCGGGCAGGGTGCAGCCATGGCAACTGTTGGGTATACAGGGCCGGGAGGCACAGCTGGTGCGGCAGCTCAAGGCGGGCAGGCAGGATTCACAGGACATGGTGTTGGGAGAGGTGACGGGAGAGCAGTGAGCTGCTGGAGGTAGATGTGGATGAGGTTTGAGTCTCTCTCTCTTTCATGGTCCTTTTATACCCTTAAAAGTGGGCGGGGGCTTGGAAAATAGCATAATTTCCTTTCCTAATGCTTCAGCTAATTTTTCTTCAAAATAAGCTACTTAGATTGCTTCCAAAGAGTCCCCCCTCATCTATAAAATTATTCCATTCAGCTTGTGTCACGGCAGCCTCTTGCTGGGTACAAGTGGTTGATGAAATCAGAGTTTGGTCAGATGGCTTCAAAGGAGGCATATTCATCACCATCCTGAAAGGATCACCCCATTACTCAGAGGGAAGGAAAGCATGGGACATGAGGTGGGGTTGCTTGGCAGTCAGAGATTCCTTTCCCGGGAGGTTCTGCTGATATAGCTATGGAAAAGGCACTGTGAGTGAACAGCCTTCCCATAGGCCTCTCCTCTCAAATCTACACACATTTCAGAATTTAGAGAAGCAATCCTTATAGAAGAACCTCAGCCTGGATACTGGCTGCATCTTGGGAAATGTCCAGATAGGCAGTCTAGAAACAGCTGTGTGATGGTGTTTGGAAAATGAGAATGCAAAATGAAAGATGGATGGATGGATGGATGGATGGATGGATGGATGGATGGATGGATGGGACAGACAGTCAGTCATATGGATGGGGATTATACTAAAAGGAGATTTGGCCAGCTATAGGCCACAGCCTGCATAGAATGTGGAGCTGTACTCTTGGTGGAACCTTTAAGAGGTGGAGCCATTGGGTGGGTTCTCTAACACTGACAGGAAGACACACACACACACACACACACACACACACTATACTTTTCTACCCTTAAGAAGTCAAGGCATGTGTTAGGTCAATAATAATCAAAATTAATAGTCTTTAAAGAAAATTTTCATTTGACAATGTTTGCATTAACACGACATTCTGTGTTTTCCTCAACATGTGTGTCAAGTAGGTGAAGATGGGCCGGTTGTCCCTTCATTACCCCTGGGGAAACTGAAGCTCAGGAAAGTCACAAGTCCTGTCCAAGAATGTCAAGCTGATAGCTCTGACCCACATCCAGGTCCTGCTGAGTGGGCTTCATTGAAGCCATTGGAAATGCTTCACCTGTCTGGATTCTACAAGACCCCTGGGACCAAACTGACTGCTGGCTCTTGAGTCGCTTAAATCAGTCTGTGTAAGAGGAGACTGCACTCTCAAAAGTTTTTATGTTGTGTCCCCCAGGTTTTTCAAAGCGCCCCCAACACTGAGAACTGTTGTTTTGCCATAGGTCTGTTGGTGATAGTGGAACAGAAGAGAGCATTAAAAGACATTTCCAAGGTTTCGGGGAAGTGTAGAGCACATTTCTTTAAGCATTAAGATGTGTCCGAAGAACATATTATGACTTGTGGATCTTATAAGGTTTGTTCATAACTACAGTGCCCCTCTATTGCAGAAGCTATATCTACTTAAACCATATGCAGAGCTTTCAGGGGGGAGGGGCTGCCTTCCTTCAATACTCAGCTTGTTGTGAACAACAAACCTTTCTGCTTGAGGATTGGCTTGACTCTTGTGAAGCTATTCAAAGAGGAGTTGGGAGTAAGGTAGACAAGTTAGATAATTAAAAGCAAACAAACGGTATAATTATATCAATTATGATCCATTATTCTCTTTAGAGGAGCTTGACAAAAAAAATTAGTCTGGAATGTACCCGTGTACGGAGCTTGTGCATAGGAGGCCGCTTTGAAGAATGTCATTAACCTGGATGTAAACATTCCATTCTCCATACTCTGTGGTCGAGTCTTGGCTATAACAATAGGTGGAACCGGATTCTAATAACCAAATGTGATTTTTTAAGCCGGTGTCCAAACCTCAGTGTCCTCATCTGTAAAGTGGGTTTGATCCCAGCACTGTTATAAACATTCATTTGCGATAACATCCTAAGTCGTGGAGGGTCCTCACTAGGTAAGAACTATATTGTCTTCTTGTTCCTGCTGCCGTGAGTTCCCACAAAGTTAAGGCCTTAAAATGACTCAAATGTACTCCTTAGGATCCCCTAAGTTAGAGGTCCAAAACTGATCTCAAACCCAAGTTTTATGTTGCGCTAAGATCAAGAGATCAGGAAGCATTTCTCCACACCAACCATGGAAAACCTGAAAGGGGACTGGTGAGTAGACTCAGTGGGGAAGGCACTTGCTGCCAAACCTGACAACGTGAGCTCAGTCCCAGGGACTCACGTGGCAGAAAGGGAGAATCAACTGCTGCAGATCATCATCTAAGTTCCGCGTACAAGCTTGGCACAGGACCACTCTCTTGTGCACACATATACGCACAAAATATGTAAAGAAATTTATTTCTTTTTAAGATTTATTAAAGGATTAAAGTCTCAAATATCAGAGCTAAAATTATAAAAACCTGTAAAGGAACATCTTTGTGAATCTAGATTTGACACCAAGATCTCAGGCAACCAAAAGAAAAATTCAACAGATTTCCTCCAAAATGAAACTCCTGTGCATCAGATACTCAGCCAAGGGACTGGAGAGATGCCTCAGCAGTCAAGAGGACCCAGATTCAGCCCCCAGTATCCATATGGCAGCTCAGAGCCCTCTGTAATTCCAGTTCCAGGGAATCTAATGCCCTCTTCCGGCTTCCATGGGCGTGGCACATACATGATGCACTTATATACTTATATACATGCAGGCAGAACACTCTCACACATAAAATAAATTAAATTTAAAAATAAAAAGTAAAAAATCTCCATCAAGGAAAGAAACATGGTCTGGAAATATAACTTGGTGATCCAGTACTTGCTTAACATATATGAGGCCCTAAGGTCAGGATCCAAGGCCCAGAAAGGGGGTGGATAAACCAAGGAGTTTACAAACTGGGAGGAAATATCTAAAGATCATATATATGGTGGGAAATAAGGTCTAGAATTTATTATGAACTCCTACAACATTTAAAAAAACAAGAGAAACAATCTTAAAAATGGGTAAAAACTTCAACTGACAAGTCTTGGAAGAAGATGTGCAAATGGTCATTTAAAAAGATGCTCGATGCCCTTGGTCATCGGGCTCATACAAACGGACAGCACAATAAGGTACCACTTCACACCCATTCTGATGGCTATTGCTTCAAATAAACAGAAGATAGGAAGCGTTGGCAAGCACATGAAAAAATTGGGACCCTGTGCTCTTCTGGTGAAGGAGAGCATTTTAAATGGTGCGGACACTGGCGAAGACACAGTGTCTTGATCATGTCAGTTCACGAGACCGTGGTTCATAAAAACAGGCTGATAACATCCTGAGGGTCCTCTGGGGTTTTATGCAGTCAACACTTATCGTTTCTGTGGATTTTCCTTCCAGTTAAAAGAAGCTGCCATTTCTTGAGACATACCACTGTCCTCAGTCTCCAGAGCTTGTCTCTTTCAATGGTCAGACACTTTCTCAGGAATCAGGGTTCTGTGTCTTAGGGTGATAGCACTCCTTGTGGGTCTAACTTTATGCTCTTAACAAATTGTGAGTAGCTTGCGGTTGAGAGCTGCCTGCTAGAGTCTCTCCGTGCTGCACCACCCAGCATTTACAAAGTAGGAGTTCGCCAGGAACTGGTTAGATTGACATGAGAGAGGACAAATATCCCATGAAGAACGGATGGATCCTCCAGGTCAGTGGCTGGAAGCCCTGCCTGGCCAATGATGAAAACACACATAAAAGAAAGGAAGACGGTCTGGGTATGGCAGAAAAAAAACAGGGTGACAGAGGGCTCCTTCACAGTGTACCCCTGAGGTTTCCTGAACTACAATAACCCAGAATCATAAAACACTAGATCCAAGGATCTTGCTGAGGAAAAAAAAAAATGAGTTTTCCAGATTTGCTATCCCTAGTTCATGCCTTCAAGTTCAGGCTTGGATAGCAACAGCTCTGGGAGAATCTATGCCCGGCGAGAAATATAGAAATAATGAAAGGGAGACAGCAGCATGCATTGCAGCAGCCTCACACTCCCTCCTGGTGGCTGTTCTACTTCACCCATGGGTGCGGGGTATCAGGCCAGCCATCTGCCCATTAAGACAGAAGCCCATTATAAAGCTTGACTTTCAAGTGGCTTTTTATAGAGTCCTAAGGTGGGGAGCAGATGGCGACAAACAAAGAGCAATAAGAAAGGCATCTGCTTTTGGCAGGAAAACATTTATTGTGAGATTACAAGGGAGGGCAGCTGGCACTTCAGAGTCCTCCAGATGAGCCAAGGGAGAGCCAGGTCCCTCTGAAGGAAAAAGCAGGCAGACAATGGTCTAGAGAGGATACAGCAGCTGAAGGCACAGTTTCTGGGGCTGTCATTCCAGGGTTGCACTGGCTATTCTGTGTTTTTACGCCTGTTTTGTGGAATGAACCAGAACCAGGTCAGAGCTCTGGAGCGCTAAGCCCTGTACCCTTGCGCCTTTGGCATCTCCCAGGTTCTAGCGTACAAAGGAGTTGCATGGCCCACAGCGGGGACGTGGGACACAAGGTGTGCAAGGGGCAGGGGGTGGGCACGGAGTGCAGGGATTGGAGACACAGGGCCCAATGGGCTTGCCGCATGCATTGGTTGTGGCACAGGGATTGCAGGGTAGCCTAGAAAGGAAGAACACAAGAGAAAGGTGAGGTGAGCCAGATGCATAACCACATATCAGAGAGTCCCAAAGAGTAACCACATATAACCCTATCTATATATGACCACATATCAGAGAGTTTGTAAGAGAAGGCCTAGCCTAGAACAGAGAAGACCCCGCTCCCCTCTACTGCAAAACCTTTAACTCACTAAAATTCTGCCTCCTATAGAGAACCACAAGTACTACGCAGACACCCCAGATCTACACACTCTTAGCTATTGACCTTGAGTGGGTTACCGCCTTCTCCAAGCCCTAGCGGCCTTACATAGAGACCTGGAAGAATACTGTGCCCGCCTACCCGAGGGTGATTACACAAGCAGATAAGATAGTTTCTATCTTAAGCTGTCTATACAATGGAGTATTGTAAAGAGACAGCTCACATGATTCTGCATGTTATCACACTAGAATACAAAGATAACTGGGCCAGTTCAGTTTGTACACCAGGAACCGTGCTAACAAGACGCTTGGTGTTTTTAATGATGGCTGTGGTGTATCGGGAGTTCTGTTTGAGCATGTCAAGTGGTAAGCATGATTTTCTTTCCCAAGGTAGACAATCTGTGACATTTCCAACAGAGTCCCATACTTCCCTCCGAGCACTCATCAAACCCGTCCATCTGTGCACTCACTTGCAGTCCTCGCTCTCCAGCAGGCCCCTGTACGTGTTGATCTCACACTCCAGCCTGGCCCGGATGTCCAGCAGCACCTGGTACTCCTGGTTCTGACGCTCCAGGTCAGCCCGGATCTCACCAAGCTGGGACTCCACGTTGGTGATCAGGCACTGCACCTGGGACAGCTGGGAGCTGTAGCGAGCCTCGCTCTCTGTCAGGGTGTTTTCCAGAGAGTTTCTCTGTGGGGGGAGAAGACAGAGACTATCACACAGCTGTCCCCTCTAAAGGTCCCTGCATGGCCCTCCAAGGGCCTTCAAGAGCTAAGGAGAGGGAGTGGCCCCAGGGCATCCCAGTGACTCTGCCTCCCAACTCCACACTGCTCAGCAGCAGGTCTGGACACTACACACCAGGTTGTGCTGGGCCTGCAGCTCGATCTCCAGGGCATTGACTGTGCGTCTCAGCTCGATGATCTCTGCCTGGCAGGACTGCAGCTGCTCTGAGCTGGACACAACCTGCTTGTTCAACTCCTCGGTCTGCAAGAAGCAAGGGCAGAGACGGGATCAGATCCTGCCTTAGAGTCCTGGGGAACTCAGTTCCTGGGTGACCATGAGCTCAGATGCCCACCTGTGTGGTGAACCATTCCTCCACTTCTCTGCGGTTGGTTTCCACCAGGGCCTCGTACTGACACCTGGTCTCATTGAGCACACGGTTCAGGTCGACAGTGGGAGCAGCGTCCACCTCCACGTTGAGGCGGTCTCCAAGCTGGCAGCGCAGGGTGTTGACTTCCTACAGATGAGTAAATTCCCAGTTACTATTCTCAGTGAGTCTCAGAGATAACCCTGCCTGTTGAAGCCCTAAGTCTATTTCCTTGTAAAAAAAAGAACCTTGGAGTGTAGCCGTTTATTATATTAGTGCAATGCAAATAATCTCCATAGGCTCAACTCCCTCCTCACCATTACCCTGACATGACACTTGTCTTCAAAAAGAAATCACAAGGGTTTTCTGAGCTTTTGTTGAAGAACAGGCTAACAAACAAGTTTCCCAGATTGGAAACTGAGACCCTCGAATGCAAAAAGATGGCTAGACAGATTCAAGTTGTACATTAAACAATTCTTGCTACCAAAAAAAGAAACAAAATACTGTCATGCCATGTCCCAGAAGAAGCCACTCGTTGCTCCACAAGACTTTGGAAGAGTGGAGGCATCATTTGCCTACCTTGTCTTATTTATCCTAGCAAGAGAATAATCAGATCACCAACATAGCAAGTCTGGAACTCTATAGCTGGGTGGCAAATTGCCAGCAAATGGAGGTGTCTGGGAAATCATACATGAGTTTTTAACATGAGGTATATTCTGAGAATATGGATAAGTTCGTCTATAGTTATTTTCTCATTGGGTCCTAATGGTTTTTGAAAGGAATTCATAAAAACATTCTGAGATTCATATTAATACCCTTTGTTCTGCTTCTCCTGACCCCAAAGCCTGAGGCTGAGTTAGGTCCTTCATCTGGTCTCACCTCCTCGTGGTTCCTCTTGAGACACAGCAGCTCCTCCTTCAGGGACTCCACCTGAGCCTCCAGGTCAGACTTGCACAGGGTCAGCTCGTCCAGGATCCTGCGCAGGCCATTGATGTCAGACTCCACCAGCTGCCTCAGGGACAGCTCGGTCTCATACCTGAAAAAGGACAGGGTCAGAGCAGCAACTGGTGAAACTCAAGATCCAGAACAATAATCCTTGCTAGAAACCACTTGTGTTGCCTCCCTACTTCCTGCAATGCATAGACGCAGGGGACAGAGAGTTCCGGATGCTCCATCAAACCCCAACCTCATCCTTTTCCCATTTTTTTTGTGATTCCTTTTCTTGGTTCTGCTCCCAACATCTTTTTGCAGAACCATTCACAACTAACAGATTGTCTACTGTTCGGAAAAACTATGGAAATCCCTTTCTTTAACTGGAGGTTAAATCAAAGAAAATATACTAATGTGAATGCCAAACAACTCACTTGGTCCTGAAGTCATCGGCAGCCAGCTTGGCGTTATCAATCTGCACCACCAACCTGGCGTTCTCAGACTTGCTGCACAGGATCTAAGGAAGAAGAGACCACATGAATCAGTGAGCATGAAAAATAAATACAAAACCATCAGCTTGTTTTAAAATCACTAGCAAGGAAAATGGGAAAGCGAGGATCATTGTGGCAGCTGTCTAGCTGATGGATCGACCTTATGAACATCAGCTGTCATCTACGGCATTTGTTGATGGACCCTGACAGATCATTGTGGGTCGGAAATGAGAAACACTTCTCTACCTCAGGCTGAGAACCATAGCAAGTTACCGTCACTTAGACAGGACAGCATGGCCCCCTCACCTTCTGCTGCAGCTCCTCGATGGTCCTGAAGTAGGCCTGGTAGGCAGGGCACACCAGAGGGTCCTGCTGCTGGTTCCTCTCCTGGATCCGACTTTCCAGCTCGGCATTCTCTCTCTCCAGCTGCCTCACCTTCTCCAGGTAGCTGGCCAGGCGGTCATTCAGGAACTGCATGGTCTCCTTCTCGTTGCCATTGAAGGAGCCCTCACAGAACCAATTGCAGTTGCCGATATTGGCAGGGATGTTGCAGGCCCCGGGCAGGGTGCAGCTGTGGCAGCTGTTGGGTATACAGGGCCGGGAGGAGCAGCTGGTGCGGCAACTCAAGGAGGGCAGGCAGCAGTTGTACGGCATGGTGCTGGAGGGAGTGAGGTGCCTGGCTGAAGACACAATGTGAATTCTCCAAGCCTCAGAGCTCTGGGTGTCCTTCCTCTGGTGAGAATTTATAACCCTTCTCCAGAGGGTGTGGACACAGTATGTAAAATCTTTTTTCTTTGTACTTCTTCGCTGGTTTTCAGACGCCCTCTCCATCAGTCTGTCATTTGCCTCCCTCAGAGGAGTCCCTGATCCCATAAAAATTCTTTACTCGAGCTTCCTGCTAAGTCAGGACTCTTCGTCAGCCATTACACCCATGAAATCAGAGTTCTGCGGTAGAGCTTCAAAGAAGCCACATGGTCCAGCCCTGGTCACTCGGGTGTTGGTCCAGCCAGTGGCATTCTTTTGTGTTACAAGATGCTGAAGGCCCATAGTCAACCTTATGTCCTAGCTAACCTGACGTTTCCAGAGAGAGAGACAGAAAGATGGATTGCTTGAAGGAAGACACTGCATTCAGTTACAACCATCAACTCTTTCTCCTTGTGACGAGAGACAACTCTCTGCATGGTGCCATATTCCAGGCCAAAGATGGGTGACAGTGGTGGGGATTTGGGCTGACCTGAACCTTAGCTCTGAAGGTTGGAGAGATGTTTGTGGTTTACAGGACCACTTAAGAGAATGGTAGGGACTTTAATAATCACCTTGACAACAGAGAAGTTTCTGGAAGAAGAGACAGTTTTGAAAGAGGTCCGAAAAAAATATTAGCTGATGGGTCAGTAGATTCATTTAAACTGTCTAGGAAAAGAAAACGGATGTGTTCATCAAATATGGGGCATGAGTCAAAACAGAAGGAATGGCTCATTTAAGAGTGTCAAGAGATAATCCAAAGTGATTAGGAATACAGGTCTGTAGTACGTAGTGCACTTGTCTACTCTATGCAATGTCCTGGGTTCAAACCCCAGCAAGGCAAAAAGGTAGTCCAAAAGGGGTCTTCCCAGGCAAGAAATCATTTTATCTTAAACTTGAACAAATTGACTCTATAGTATGTAACATATCCGTGTCAGACTTAACGTTAAAAACCACTTTTAAATTTCCAGTTAAACTTTCAAACATTCTGCCCATTCTCTGCACTCGGTGTATGCATGTGCAACATTCTGCCCTGGGCATCCCAGCTCCAGTCCTGCTGCATACAGATGTTCTAAGGACTAAGAGTTCAAAAGTATGAAAGGAAAGCTATGTTATATCATTGAATCCAAGGGCTTAGATGCTAGGAAGAAACATACTGAGGTACCCTGTAAGCATAGGATTTGGCCAGGGCAGGGGCGGAAGAGGGATGGAGACGAGCTAAAAAAAAAAAATGGGTGGCAGTGGATGGGACCAGAGATCTAAGGATGAGATGGTCCAAACTGGAAGTATAAAAGTTATGTAATTATAGGCACTGCCACATACTGCCTGCATCTCCAGAGCATCATCTCAAGTGCCTGTGGCTTTGGCCAGCAGCCAGAGCTTCTGCTTTACTGACATCTTATTGGAGTCCTGCTCCCCGGTGAGCTTTCATGGTAGTCTTCATGTGGCTGGAGTCTCCAACCAAAGATCCAACGTCTGTACTCTCCAGGACCATTACCCCCACTTATTATAAAAAGTGTTCGTGTTTTTAAAGACCCAGACCACTACAAAGCAGCCTCGGACTTGTAATAAAATCTAATTTTCTTTGTTTTTTTCCAAAGACTATGAAGTAGGAGAAATAGGCGGGTCTGGAGACAGGTACCACCCAGATTTTCCATCAGAAAGACACCAGGCCAGCCCTGGCAGTCGGCAGGGAGCTTCTGATACCTTCCGTCTGGGTTTGGGAAGACTGGCGAAGTGACTACATACAAAGATGAGAACCAATGGGTAAAGACCAGAAGAAGCCTCTGATGTCCCAATGCTTGTCAGCCTGCTCCAAATCCTTGGCTTTTCCAGAAAAGAGCTGCTTTCTCAACCTGCCTTCTTCCCCATCCGGGGAAACCTTGCCCTGAGCACAGATGGAATGCCTGCAGCACCCTCCAATCCCTTTGGCCTTCTATGGGCTGCCCAGTGTCGCCCCCTCAAGGCCTCCGCCAAGAAGAACACCCAGGTGTTTATATAGGAGAAGATTTGCCAATTGGATCATCCAGGAGGGCAATAACAGAATCCCCCCAGTACACAGAGATCAAAGAAATGGAGCCAGGTGGACACAAGGAGGAGGCTGTCCAATAAGAAAGATAAGAACATTCTGAAGAAAGCAACAAGGAAGAAAAGGGAATGGGAACCCCAGACTTGCACAGCCACATGAATCAAACAGAGCTAGCCCACTTTCAAATGGGCTAACCCGCAAGAATACACAGCTGAAAATTAGCCAAGATGTCCAAAACCGATGGTCAGAAAACACAGCCTACCCTGCTGAGTGTCCTGTGAGAGATAAATGGAGACAATCCCTGCAAGACCTGCAGACATGGGACCAAGGCTTCTGAAGCCTCTGAAAGATCAACCTTGGCCCACGGTGTCCGAAGCAGAGTATCTTCTCCAGCATCCAGTCTCGGATTTGTTTGTAGCTAAAATACTCTGCCCAGCAATGCTATACTTACACGTATGGAATACTGGGGGACAACGGGGGAAAGCAATGAGGATAGTCAAACATGCACTGGCTTCAGGGACTGAACAAACATCGGCCACATTGAAGATGGGGGAAGGACAGGTTACCTCTGTTGCCTGCAACCTGCTCCTGGAGATAACTTGTTTCCCTACTGACTGCCCTGCAGAAGGTGATGTGGAACAGTTCCGGATGGAGACCGCAGGCCGACTGTCTGGTGAGTAAGCACAAGGCTGGCACCCCTGGACATTCTAGCCTCCTCTGCAGTGTTTTCAAAATATCGACCAGCTTGAGTGTGTTTGCCTCTTGAACTAGTAAGAGAAATGAGACCCCAGGCTTAAAGGTTTCCAGGATCTCCCTCAGGCTAGCAGTAGATTTAAGTGCTTTCTTGATTTACTAATTGGAATGTTTTATTTGCATATTGTAATCCTTCTAAGAGAAACTGAGCTCTCTATGAACCCTCAAACGTACCTTTCTTTTTTTTTGGGGGGGGGGTTTCGAGACAGGGTTTCTCTGGAGCCTGTCCTGGAACTAGCTCTTGTAGACCAGGCTGGTCTCGAACTCACAGAGATCCGCCTGCCTCTGCCTCCCGAGTGCTGGGATTAAAGGCGTGCGCCACCACCGCCCGGCTAAACCTACCTTTCTTTATCTGGTTCAGTTTAATTCAAACTGCATTTACTAGGCACCTTTTCTATACTAAAAACAGAACCAAATTAGAACAGAAAAATCATAGCTGGTAAGGGATTCCCTGTTTGTGGGTAATCCAGGCCAATCAGTCCCAATTTGGACCCAAAAAGTAAACAAGAAATAGACAGAAGTAAAGGGATGAGGTATTTTAAAAGCGTAAGGTGACATTTGGAAATATATTTGTATTTGACATAGTATTAAGATTATACATATGATGTCCAGAGCAGCGACATTTGCAGACTATCCACTCTGTGTGTGGCATAGTCCTACGGGCAGGGTCATGGAGGATATGGTGTGTTCTTGCCCCTCCTGGAGCTCTCAGATGTGCATAATGCCATGTAATTGGACAACTCGATAAAATATCCTTCTATTGCCCACCGCCACTTCTCCCCCAACCTGTCACTTGCCTCATATTCCAGTTGGACCATTTCAAACCCAGTTCATGGTTCTCAAACCCAGAGTGAAGGGGTGGAGCCCTTTCTGACTAGTATCTATTGTTCTCTCTCTCTCTCTCTCTCTCTCTCTCTCTCTCTCCCCACACACACACATGTATGCCCACACACATGCCCATCTATGTGCAGAGGCAAGAGAAGGGCATCAGGTGTCCTGCTCTATAGCTCTTCACCCTATTCTCTTGAGACAAGGTCTCTCACTGAACCTGGAGCTAGGCTTACAGCTAGCAAGACCCAGTGACTCCTGTCACTGCCTCCACCGTTACAGGCATATGTGATCAAACCCAGTTTTTTAGGAGAATCCACAGGGATTTGAACTTGGGTCCTCATGCTTGCACAACTACCCACTGGACAGCCTTCAAGCCCTAGCTGCCAGTTTTTCAAAGGCCCATTTGTGCTCTGCTCTGAAGGTGATGTGTAGGCAGGACTCAAAGAACTGATCGCATTAAAATTCTAATGCCCTTAAGAACTTTTTTTTCTGAACAGGCAAGACTAACGTGTATTTAGAGGATGCAGATGGATGCTTAGTTAGGATGGGGAACAAGAAGTTGAACAGAGTGAAGGGGCGCTTACTACACATAGCAATTTTGACTGTAGTGATGAATGATTGGTGTACACTGTCAAAATCCACTGAACTGTGTCGCTGGACTGAGTACAGATTGTTGCATATGAATCATGACTCCAAGAGCTCATTTCTAGAGAAAACCCAGCACTAACAGCAGCCTTTCTGCCTTAATTTTCCTCCTGGCTGGGCTAATATGATGCTGTATTTAGCGGGTGTTTATATGCAATGAATGTGGAAATCAACAGACCTTTCCATGTTGATTTGCGTCTCCAAGCTTCCAGAAAAACCCTTCCCTCCTCAAATGTTAGCTCTTCCTAGAAGACTTCCCTGGGCATCTGACAATAAATACTCTGGACACACACACACAAAGAAAAAAAAAACCTGTGGGGCAGCAGAGAGAAAGAAGAGGCCCTGTGAATTATATCCATTTAAAGAGGAAATCCAAAAAGGGAATTAGAGTCAGAGAGGGAAGCGGGAGGCAGCCCACGAACCTGATGATGGGCACAAACCACACTGCCCTCTTCAGACCAAAGATCTCATGGGTGTAAAGGACCTTGGAAGCCAACGTGAGCAATCAACACAGAGGATGTCTACGAACCAGGGGAAAGAGAGGCACTGAAACTTGGGTATCATAACCAACATAAAGGATAGTCCTTGGCTGAGAAAAGACAATAGTTCTGACCAATGCCAAAGCTTGGCCTGAAATGTTGAGTTTGTGTACAGAGAAGGCAGAGTGTGAAGGGCCCTGGAAACATGAACTTTGGGGGAGAGGGGGGTGTCCCGGGCCCTGGGATGAATGTCTTTTCCCCAGTAAGTCTATGCTAATATTTAAGAGTAATCGAAGTGTGAAGTTTTAATCACATATACCTTCGCCAAAACCCTAACAGCTGCATACAGAGAAAGAGCAATAGACCAGAACCGAGCCAAGGATTGAGTACCTAGTGTTGTCCCCTCCTCTGTGAGCCTGGAAGGAGACTCCTCACCTCTTTAGACCTGAGCTCTTTTCCCCCCTTGCCCAGCAAAGATGATGATGCCTACCTGCCTCTCTCAATGTTGTTTGACACTCAAACGGGATAAATGATATTCTTTGTAGATGGTAAAAAGCGGTGAACACAGATGAGGGTTCCAGACCTTGCTTCTTCTTCCCTAATATGTGCTATGATTTTTGGCTATGGCATCGAAGGTGGGGTGGCCATGGATTAAGCGTCTTTATCAAATTCTATTCATTAAAATTGTGCCCAGGTTTCAAGCTACATGGAGACGCTATGGAGCTTTTGTTCCTCCCACCTTGGTGTCCTCAACTCGGAATGATTCCTGTAAAGCAGCATCTTCCTTTCCTCTAGGACAGTGGCTCCCAACCTGAGAGTCACGACCCCTCCTAGGTCAAATGACCCTATTATAGGGGTCACATAAGACCATCAGAAAACACAGATATTA